CATTACATCGGAATAATATGGGAAGTTAAAAAAAAAATTAACAAAAGAGTGTCAAGGTCATAAAAGCCAAGGAAAGACTAAGGAATTACTCCAGATTGAAAGAGAACTGAAAGAGAATAAAGACATGCAAACTAAAAGCAATATGTGATTTTGGAAAATCACACAACTAAAATGTACTGTATGATTTCATAACCTCTGTTATAAAGAACATTAGTGGAACATTTGGGGGAAATTGAATAAGGTCTGATTAAATGTTAGTCATGTGACTTTTTTCTTATTTTAAAAGTTATATTGTGGTTATACAAAAATGTCATTGTAGGAAACATACATGAAAATATTCAAGAGCCAGGCACAGTGGCTCACTTCTGTAATCCCAGCACTTTAAGAGGCCGAGGAGGGTGGATTGCTTGAGGTCAGGAGTTCAAGACCAGCCTGGCCAACATGGTGAAACCTGTCTCTATTAAAAAAACAATAATAATGAAAATAAAAAAATAAAGTATTCAAGAATGATGGGCATCTCAAATGGTTCAGAAAAAAAGAATCTTTGTACTGTATTTGCAACTCTTCTGTAAGTTTGGGATTATTTCCAAAAAATAAATATTTGTATTTGGAATCCAACTAGCTCTCATCATCTATGACATGCAAGCCCAAGTAATCTTCCTCTCTCACTTGCATTACTTAAAAGCACCATGATCACTTTATTTTCTCCCATGGCTTCCGTGCCTCAGTAATTTAGGAAAAGCTCAGCTATATGGTTTTGGCTTGAGGTGTCTCATGCAAGTGCAGTCAGATGGCTAGAGTTGGGACACCTAGAGAATAAAGCACTCCTCTCTCCAAGTCATCTCAGCACCTAAGTGGTTTCTCCATATGGGCTAATTTGTACTTCCTTAGAGCCTGGTGACCTCAGGGCAGTCAGATTCCCCATGTGGCAGCTGAAGGCTTCCAAAATTTGTGCTCCAGTGAATAAATCAGAAGCTGCTTTGTCTTTTATGACTTAGCCTCGGAAGTCACATAACATCACTTCCACCATACTCAATTGGTAAAACAGTCATAGAAGCCTATTCAGTTAAAGATGGAGGGACAGGGACCTCACCTCTTGTTTGGAGAAGTGTTGAAGATGAGCTCATGGACTGGGAGTTGGCATCGTGGCTGTTTTTGGACAATATCATTTGCCACGGTGGTTTGCTAGGCCCTGTAGGGTCTGGACCCTTACTAACTCCCTGAGCTTTCCTGCTATTTTCCTTCTTGCTCTCTCTGTTTCAGGCAGAATGGCTTCTTTGAAAACTCAAGCACTCCTCCCTCAGGGCCTTTGCCTTTGTTCTTTTTCTCTCTAGAACATTCTTCCCCTATATATTTATTATTTTATTTTAATTTTTTTGGAGACAGAATCTTGCTCTGATGCCCAGGCTGGAGTGCAGTGGTGCGATCTTGGCTCATTGCAACCTCCATTTCCCAGGTTCAGGAGATTCTCCTGCCACAGCCTCCTGAGTAGTTGGGATTACAGGTGTGCATCACATGCCTAGATAACTGTTGTATTTGTATCTATCTATCTATCTATCTATCTATCTATCTATCTATCTATCTATCATCTATCTATTATCTATCTATCTATCATCTATCTATCTATCATCTATCTATTATCTATCTATCTATCTATCTATCTATCTATCTATCTATCTATCTATCATCTATCGAGACAGAATCTCACTCTGTCAATTAGGCTGGAGTGTAATGGCATGATCTTGGCTCAGTACAACCTCTGCCTCTAGTTAGGATTACAGGTGTGCACCATCACGCCCAGCTAATTTCTGTATTTTATTTATTTATTTATCTACTAAGACAAAGTCTCACTCTGTCACCCAGGCTAGAGTGCAATGGCATGGTCTTGGCTCAGTACAATATCTGCCTCCTGGGTTCAAGTGTTCAAGCGATTCTCGTACCTCAGTCTCCCAAGTAGCTGGGACTACAGGCTAACACCATCATGCCCAGCTAATTTTTGTATTTTTAGTAGAGACAGGGTTTCACCATGTTGGCCAGGCTGGTTTCGAACTCCTGACCTCAAGTGATCTGCTTATCTTGGCTTCCCAGAGTGCTGGAATTACAGGTGTGAGCCACCGTACCTGGCCAGGATATTTCTTTCTTTCTTTATTGAGACAGAGTGTTGCTCTGTTACCCAGGCTGGAGTACAGTGGTGTGATCACCGCTCACTACAGTGTCGACCTTCCAGGCTCAAGTAATCCTCCCACCTCAGCTTCCCAAATAGTTGAGACCACAGGTGCATACCACCACATTGGCTAATTTTGTTCATTTTGTTTTGTTTGTTTTTTGGTACAGAAGTCTCACTATGTTGCCCAGGCTGGTCTCAAACTCCTGGACTCTAGTGATCCTCCAGCCTTGGCCTCCCAAAGTGCTGGGATTACAGGTGTGAGCCACCACACCTGGCCTGAAGTGGATTTTTATAGCAGTAGATAACTGATGCACCTTCCTTCTCTTTGTCACACTACAATCCTGGTCATGACTTCTCAAACATAAACGCTTCTTTTCTTTTGTTCTCATCTAGGTAGCACATAGTGTGAAGCAACATACAAACACATATACATATATATATATTTCTTGGAAACAAGATGCATTAGTTCTCTAGAGCTACAGTAACAAATTACCACAGGCTAGGGTGCTTGAAACAATAGAAAGTTATTGTCTCACAGTTCTAGTGGCTGAAATTCACAGTCAAGGTGCAGGCAGGGTTATTCTCTCTCAAGGTCCCTAGGGAGAATCAGCTTTGTGTCTTTCTCTTGGCTTCTAGTGTCCCCAGCAATCATTGGTGTTCCTTGGCTTGCAGCTGTGTAAGCTCAATCTTTGCCTCACTGTCACATGGCATTCTGCCCCTATGTTTTCAGGTCATATTGGATTAAGAGCTGGACATCATCCACTATGACCTTATCTTAGCTAATTATGTCTGCAAAGACCCTATGTGCAAGTAAGGTCATGTTCTGAGGTATTGGGGAATAGGACTTCAACATATCTCCTAGGGGAATACAATAAAACCCATGACACATGCCTATCATTTCCCCCTCAGTTGTACATTCTAGAGCCCTTAAACATTTCAATCTTCACTGTGACAAAGGCCAGACATGGTGGCTCATGCCTGTAATCCCAGCACTTTGGGAGGCCAAAGCAGGAGGATAATTTGAGGGTAGGAGTTCGAGACCAGCCTGGCCAACATGGCAAAACCTCTACTAAAAATACAAAAATTGGCTGGGCATGGGCGCAAGCCTGTAGTCCCAACTGCTCAGGAGTCTGAACAGGAGAATCTCTTGAATCCGGGAGGTGGAGGCTGCAGTGAACCAAGATCGTGCCACTGCACCAGCCTGGGTGACAGAGTGAGACTCTGTCTCAAAAACAAAGAAACAAACAAAAATGATAAAACAGTAATTCTTTGTATTCAATAAACAAAAACCTACTGAGTGCCTACTATGTACAAAGCACTCATCTGGGCTTTATTTGCTTCAATCTAATCTGTATAACACTTGGTCATTAAATTAGAATTTGTACTAATTTGACCTCAGTGTTTTTCCATTGGAACAAGGTAAGCAAGCAATGAGGAACAGATCCACACAAATACCTGTGAATGGTGAAATGTCTATGCCAGGCATAGTTGCCAGACAGACTGGCAATTACTCATTTGTATTCAACAACCTTTTGCAAAGCCAAAGTTGGTTGGTTTTTGTGCGCCGGTTAATATGACCACAAAACTCAGCTTTTTGCCCTTGCAATGAGAGAGGATGATTCCTCAGCTATTGTTGTTCATTTGAACTTTTTTTTTCCTATGCCAAATTTCCTCAGGATTTTCTTTCCGGTTTCTTTTGGAGTTGGAACCTCCTATGTTCCCACTTTGGAGATTAGAAGTACTTTCTCCACACCTTCAGATTTTCTAGTATTGCAAATTCGTACTTGTCCAAACTTTTTCATTCTTTAGTTAGTTCTGTTTAAGTTTTCTCAGGCTTTCATTTATGTTGTTTACTTTGTCCCGTCCTCTGCATTCCATGGGTTATTTTGATGTCCTTTTCCCAATTACACGAATTCAATGTTTAATTCATTTATTTTCATTCTTTCCTGCTTAGTAATGAGCATGTATGAGCTCGGATAAGCACGGTGGCTCAAGCCTGTAATCCCAGCACTTCAAGAGGTCAAGGCTGGCAGATCACTCAAAGTCAGGAATTTGAGAGCAACCTGGCCAACAGGGTGAAATCCCATCATCTCCGCTAAAAATACAAAATTAGTCGGGCATGGTGGCAGGCACCTGTAATTCCAGCTACTCACGAAGCTGAGTCATGAGAATCACTTGAACCTGCGAAGCAGAGGTTCGTGTCACAGCACTCCAGCCTGGGACCCTGTCACAAAAAATAAAACTGTACAAGGTATGTATTTTCTTTCTTTTTTTTTCCACAGCAGAACATAAAGGCTAATGCCTTTTCTAAGTATCAGGCTGTCTACCTATTGAAATCTCCCCACCCATTCACCCAACTAAGATTCACTCCCTGAGCAAGTCTTCCCTCAGTGTCTTGCCCTGAAATCATCTCTATCTTCTTTGAAATCAGTTCTGGACCTCTGAGGAGAAAGGTAACTGTGTTTATTTTCACAGAGCCTTCTTTCTGCCTTAGCATAGTGTCCCAGCACAAAGAATAAATGGACTTGACCATTTACCCTGCAGCTGTCATTGCACTAAGTACTACAGTACTTGAACTCCTCCATTCTAATCCTCTATGTCCATTTTACAGACAAAATGCGACTCACTGAAATGTCTGTCCTCTGTTTCCATTCTTGAAACATGCCAAACCTCCAGTTTTAGGGCCTTCCTCCTTGCCTCTGTCTCTCCCCTTCCATATTCTAATTCAGTACTCAGCACAAAGGCCATCTCTTCAAAGCTCTTCCGATTGCCTATCTACAGCAGCCTGTTTCCACTCTTTCACTCTTTTATGTTATTTATAAAAGAATCTCACTTGACGAAAGCTGGATTTCCTCTCCTGTAAGATGAGGCAGGCCCTCTCAGCTCAAGGTCACTCCCTGTGATTCTACACAGAGGAGTGGGAAGAGACGGCGCTCCGCAGCAGAGGAAGAGGAGGAAGGAGGGAGGGGCGACGAGGAAGTGGGTGCAGAAGCGGGGCGTCTGGCAGTCCAGGGGAGCAGAGGGAAGGGGATCTCGAGTGGACGCCAGGTGGAGTGGGTTGCCAAGGGAGCTCGGAAGTGCGGTGTGTCTGGCAGGGACTGGGGAGGGCAGCGCCTGCCATGGACCGGGGCGAAGGCTACGAAAGGGTTGATGGAGGGGTGGGTGCGGATGGATTCCGAAACCAAGCGGCTCCCAGGGGCGACTAGAGGTAGGCATGGGGCGCTCAGGAGTTACCAAGGTGGGACAGAAGGCAGCGCGGTTCACCCGGCCGGGACTGGGCCGGATAGGGCGAGAGGTGCGTGGGTCGCGGAGGGGCGTGGAGTAGATCTGAGCTGAGTGGAGGGCGCGCGGAGGTGGGTGCAGAGAGGCGCCCAAGGGATCCGGGCCGAGCTTCCGTTGGAGAGGGACCGCGGAGCGGCGCAAGTGGGAGCCGGGCGGCCTAGAGAGCGCTGAGCGGGTGAGGCTTGCACTGCGGGACTGGGCCGGTAGCCGGGCAGGGGGCGCGCCGGGGTCGCCGAGAGGCGGGCGCAGCAGTGGGTCGGGCGCTAGCGGAGCGGCCCCAGAGGCCGTCGCCTCACTTCCGGGAACGCCTGGGAGCTGCGGTTACCGCCCCTTAGGGCGCTGCCAGAAGGCTGGCGCGGGCAGCAGAGCCGGTGAGCGCACAGGCCAGGCCAAAGCCTTGGTGCTGGCGCGGCGCGGACCTCGGTCTGCGGCTATGGGGGCGTCCGCGCGGCTGCTGCGCGCGGTGATCATGGGGGCCCCAGGCTCGGGCAAGGGCACCGTGTCGTCACGCATCACCAAACATTTCGAACTGAAGCACCTCTCCAGCGGGGACCTGCTCCGGGACAACATGCTGCGGGGCACAGGTGGGAACTCTGGACCCAGGGCCGGCCGTGCGCTGTCGCCCGGGTCGGGCTTTGCGGGCGAGGGGTTGGACTGGGCACGCGGGTGCCTGACTGAGTGCGCAGCATTTCCCTCCTGCTGCCCGAGACAGAGACCTCGGGCTGCTGAGCGACTGCGCCCCGAAAACTCCGGCCTTCGTGGGCCGCTTTGGGCGGGTTATGGGGTGGGGAAGGGACTGGAAAGTTAGGTCAAGCTCGAAGTCCAGAGACGAAGGGAAACCACCGGGCTTTGTTTCAGAGCCACAAGTCTCCCCGGTGGCAGCCACTCTTGGGGGTCCATCGAGTTGAGTGAGCTTCGGCTTATTCAATGTGCTGGTGTATACAGAAGACTGGCGTTAGCCCTGCTAGAGCTTGCTTGTCTTGTCTTTTCCTCCTCCCATTCTTCCTTCCCTTCTTTTCCTGCCTCCCTCCCTCCCTCCCTCCCTTCCTTCCTTTCTTTTTTTTTCTGTTTTCTATTTCTCCTCCTCCTCCTCCTTCCTCTTCTTCTTCTCTTTCTTTTCTTCTTTTTGGTGTGGTTAAGCTCTACAGGATCTTGTAGTTCTGACCTTTCCCCCATAATCCGAAGGCCAAGTATTATTTACCCTTGTTACGATTCCAAAATTATCTCAAATTTTGATATCCCTAGATTTCTTAGACAGCAAAGCTATTCTTGTACTTGGTTACATAAAATATTTCGTTTCTCATGCCAAATAAATTCTTACAACTCAGCACAAAAGCCAGTTAACAATCTACACTATACAGTGGGTGACTTTGTGGTATGTAAATTCTCTTGAGAAGGTTGTTTTTAAAAAGCCAATAGCAGGAGTTATTTTCTCAATAAATGTTGACCTTTACTTTTCAAAATAGAACCTGTTTTGAAACTCATTTTGAAACCCATTTTGAAACCCATTTACATAGAAATAATGCCTACACAGGACTGGGTGCGGTGGCTCACGCCTGTAATCCCAGCACTTTGGGAGGCCGAGGCGGGTGGATCACAAGGTCAGGAGATCGAGACCATCGTGGTCAACATGGTGAAACCCCGTCTCTACTAAAAATACAAAAAATTAGCTGGGCACGGTGGTGCGTGCCTGTAATCCCAGCTACTCAGGAGGCTGAGGCAGGAGAATTGCCTGAACCCAGGAGGCGAAGGTTGTGGTGAGCCGAGATCGCGCCATTGCACTCCAGCCTGGGTAACAAAAGCGAAACTCCGTCTCAAAAAAAAAAAAAAAGAAATAATGCCTACACAAGGGCTTTTGTTTTTTTTTTTTTTTTTTTGGGATAGAAAACAGGATAGAAGTGCATAGCATAAACAGCAAACACCCTCTTTCGTTCCCTACCTCAGTCCCATTCTTTGGTGGAGAACAGTGTTTCCTTCTAGAGTGGTTTATTTTACAAGCACAGGTATGTATATCCTTTCTCGTATGTAATATGTGATCATACTATGTGTATATACTCTGCACCAGTGTGGTTTCACTTTATATCTGGGATATATTTCACATGAAGATGGACAAATCCATTTCATTCTGTTTTTGTAGACATGTGTTTTCAGAATCTAGTATGATTTATTTAACCAGCTCCCCCTTAATGGACATTTATTTCCAGCTGGGTTTTGTTTGTTTGTTTGTATATTTAAAAATGACTGACGTTTAAGTGAAAAAAAAAAAGCCCAGCGTTTTTAGTTTGTCTCTTGGAGTTCTTTGGTTCAGTACCCAGCATCTCTGATGCATTTCTACTTTTCTTTCTTTCTTTCTTTTTTTATCCCTGCCCTCTACTTTTCTTTCTTTCTTCTCTAACATCTTAAAAAATAATGAAGTGTCTTGTGGTAATTAAACTTCTTCAGAAGGTTAAGTTATAAGTTAGGCCCAGTTAGGCTCACACCTGTATTCTCAGCACTTTGGGAGGCCAAGGTGGGCGGATCACTTGAACTAAGCAGTTCCAGGCCAGCCTGGGCAACATAGTGAAACTTTGTCTCTATAAAAAATTCAAAAACAATTAACAGGGTGTGGTAGCAGGTGCCTGTGGTCCTAGCTACTTGGGAGGCTGAGGTGGGAGAATTGCTTGAACCTGGGAGGTGGAGGTTGCTGTGAGCCCAGATCACAATGCTGCACTACAGCCTGAGCAAGACCCCATCTCAAAAAAAAAAAAAAAAGAAAAGAAAAAAGGTTGTTTGACTTGCTTGCTAAATGTTGTTAATGCAACATATTGAAGTAGTTAGGTAACAGTAAACAGTCCCACATACTAGTACTGTTTGAGTCAGGTTAACCAAAGTATAAGAGAGTAGGCCTGGCTTGGTGGCTCATGCCTATAATCCCAGCACTTTGGGAGGCTGAGGCAGGCAGATCACTTGAGGTCAGGAGTTCAAAACCAGCATAGGCAACATGGTAAAACCTTCATCTCTACCAAAAATACAAAAAATTAGCCAGGCATGGTGGCTTGTATGTGTGGTCGGGAGGCAGAGGTTGTAGTGAGCCAAGATTGCACCACTGCACTCCAAGCTGGGTGACAGAGTGAGATCCTGTCTCAAAAGAAAAAAAAATAAAGCATATTTATTATAAAAGAAGAAAATTGTGTCTATGTCATGCAAATATAAAAAAGGGAAATTAAGATCCCTCATAATTCTGCCTTGCCACACAGAGATAATTATAATTAACCCTTAGGTGCATTTTCTTTTATTCTTTTTTTTCTTTCTCTCTCTCTCTTTTAAATCTCTGTTGCATTTGTATTTGCAAAATGGTTATATTCTAAAAACAAATTGTCATATGCTAAATGATGTTACTTTTGTATTCTCATTTATAGTCAGTATGTTCACACGTCATTAAGCAGTCTTAAAAATGATGTTTAAGCTGGGTGTGGTGGCTCATGCCTGTAATCACAGCACTTTGGGAGGCTGAGGTGGGCAGAGCACCAGAGGTCAGGAGTTCGAGACCAGCCTGGCCAACATGGCAAAACCTTGTCTCTACTAAAAATACAAAAATTAGCCAGGTGTGGTGGTGGGCACTTGTAATCCCAGCTACTCAGGAGGCTGAGGCAGGAGCACTGCATGAACCTGGGAGGCGCAGGTTGCAGTGAGCCGAGATAGCGCCATTGCACTCCAGCCAGGGCTATAAGAACAGAACTCTTTCTCAAAAAAAATAAAGATGTTTAATTTTATCAAGGTCATATAGTTATTCAACATTTTCCTGTTATTGGACATGTGCGTTGTTAACCACTGTTGGTAATAAATACTGTTAACCTTTCACAGAAACATTTGGCATGTCTTTGCTTATTTCCTTCAAATAAATTCCTAGTATAGAATTTCTACAAATGTGGTACTATCAAATAATACAACAGAAGGATTATGCCAATTTACTTTTCAGCCATTGTTTCATGAGAGTGCTATATTCTATAGCCCATGGCTGTATTTTATAGCTAAGGTTTAAGGTCATCCCAGGAAATATATAAGGACTCTGAAAACATTAGGCAACCCATTGACAGTAGCAAAGCTGGAATAACTGTAGATCATCTCTGAACCTTTGAGTCAGGGAACTTGAGTCTGACCTTTAGACATTTAGTCCAGTCCTCTCTTTTATTTTTTTGAATAGAGTCCCACTCTGTTGCCTTAGGCTAGAGTGCAGTGGTGCCATCTCGGTTCACTGCAACCTCCAACTCCTGGGTTCAAGTGATTCTCTTGCTTCAGCCTCCCAACTCAAGTAGCTGGGACTACACCACTGTGGCTGGCTAATTTTTGTATTTTTAGTAAAGATGGGGTTTCACCATATTGGCGGGCTGGTCTCAAACTCCTGACCTCAGGTGATCCACCTGCCTCAGCCTCCCAAAATCAGGCCTCTCTTTTAAAGATGAGGAGACTGAGTTCAGGAGAGGTTAAAGAACTTGCTCGATAGTAAACAGCATTTATTGGGGGATTAGGGTGAAAACATAGATTTCCTTTTGTGCTAATTAAATACTCTTTTCTCTATGCAGTATTTCCCACATTGAGATTCATGAGATAGACATGAATAGATATTTTAGGTAGGAAAAAACTTTTTAATCTATTTATTTCAAAGTAGATTTGAAACAACCAAAATAGACACAAAACT